CCCCAAAACCCCAAAACCCCAAAACCCCTAGAGGTAAGAAATTCAAAAAAATCTAAAACTAAATTTTTATTCAATTTTGCTTTGATTCTCTGTACTATTTTATTTCTTGCCAAATACCTATTTTATCGTAAACTTGAGGATCAGAGACAATCTTTTCGTGTACGGATTTATACAAATCACCATCTTAAGGAGCAAGAATATTATTGAATAAATTATCATTAGGAGGAAACATGTCGGTGACTCTAATCATATGAGGCTTCAATTTAATCAGACAGTTATGTATCTAATCCTGAAGGAATTGATAACCATCCATATTTATATCATCAGAAATAATCAAATACTATTTTCCATTTAAAAGCCTTGTATATGCATCAAGATAAAACAGATAAGTTAAGCATTCTTTTGTATCTTGTTAGGTAGTACTATTTTGATCTTAATTAAATTGCAATTTATCTAATTTTTCCTTGAATTCTTTCACAATTAGATAATCCCCATAATTTATTGCAAGTTCCCTGACTTCAAATACTTAAGAAATGTTCCATGCTTGATATTAATCGGTTTTTTATGTTAGTTCATTTAATTTTCTAATTACCTTATTCAATGCTATGGATATTCTAACTTAGAATAATCTTAAAATGCTTTAAGGATTAGCAATCTCAGATTTTGATAGCCTCATTGTTTATAAAACATATTTATCTGACAAAAACTGCAAAGTATCATCTTAAATTTCCTAACCTTTCAACACTTTTATTCTTTAGTCAAGAACATACTTCCCAGCTTGTTATAGAAGAACATTATTATCCCCTTCCCAAGTTTGATTGACATCATTATTATTCAATAGTATACCAAATTTGGCATGGAATGAAAAACCTAAGCCTCCACAAGCCCTTCTACATTCCTGGATTCCTTAATAGCATGTCCAAGTAGAGAGAGCCTTCAAAATAGAGCTTGCAGCATGGATCTCAGAAATCTTAGGATTTTTGTCATTAAATAGCTCCTTTTAGTTCTCAGACTACATCCTCAAGTATTTTTAACTTGTAATCATTATAGCTATAGATTATGCTGCATAGCTAAATAATCTAAACTAATGTGATGGATATTCTATTAGTGAAACCTCCTTTTCACTCTTGGGTGGACCAAATTGTTGCCTCAAAACTGCATATCTTAACGCTATCTTTAATGCTTATTACAATCCTACCTGACTTCCTCCTATAAGACTAATTCTTCCTCCAGAGAGTGCCCCAAGTTACAAAGCAAATCTCTTATCATCATTTTTTATATTTGAAATGAATTCACCTTTTTCATTCACATCAGAAAATCTATTAAGTAGATTTGATTTAGGTATCCTATGATTTTTAAAAATAAAGAATCCGTTATCAATTGTGTCTATCGACAGCTTTCTTCCACAATCTCCAATTGTAACAGTGCTTAATGGCTCAAAACTCTGAGGATCTCTCAGTGGAGTAATGAAGGCATGAGGACCATAGCATCTGTCATTAATATATAGCTAAGCAAAAATGACAGATATAGTCGCAGTTTTTGAACCATTACCAATCCAAAATTTCATCGATGACGTATGAGGCGTATTTATGACATATTCTCTAGTTTAATTGTCATATGTTGCAGTTGTTTCAATACCTTTTACATTAGAGCCATGGCCTAGCTCAGTTAATCCAAAACACCCAACCTCATGACCTGTTTCACATCTTTTGACAAATGGCTAGTGAATATCAGTCCCCAAAAGTTTAATTGTTTTTAGATAGAGTTAATAATTAGCTACACATTTAGTGACATAAGACTCCTATATTATTCAAAGCTTAAATTAGTACATTATATGAGGATACAGCAACTGAAAAGGCAGCAAATATAATCGGATCATCCATTATGTCTTTAATAGGCAATATTTTATCACTCTCATCTAGTAATTTATGTATTCTCCTGTTTGCGTCTATAACTTTTTATTCCCTATTGTTTTCTAACTCGTCCTCTTGAGGTACAAATGTTGCCTTGTCTTCAAATATCTTATAAAATTTATCCAAAAGTTCTGTGTCAAGCTCATTAAGTACAAATTTTCTAATAAAACCAGAGTCTGCTTGACTCATCTATCTATATTTTTCCAGCAAATTGATGTTTATTTTCTCTGACTTAGTAGGGCAAGTGTCATTTTTATTGAAATGAGACTAAATTATCTTTATTCCCTTCATATATTTTGTATTTAAATTTAGTTAAGTAAATATTATTATTATTTATTAAACATGAATTACAATAGTATCCTTCTTTTAACAATATTTATGGGGATTGTGAGCTTTCTCAACCTTGCCTAAAGCAAGATTTTGGAACCTTACTGTGGCCCCAAGACAATGGACATAAGATTCTGTTAAACTGAGGAGCATTGCAAATACTCTGATGAGACTTGCTAAGAAGGCTGGTGTCAAACAGATTAGAGGTTGTATGTAAACTTTAAATGCAGTTATTTCCTCAATTGAAATAGCAGATTAAATGCAAATCCATTCATATAATAGATAAAGAGTTTAATATAACTTTATTGCGCTCCTAATTATTCATTATATCTTAACTTATGGGGTTTTGGGGTTTTGGGGTTTTGGGGTTTTGGGGTTTTGGGGTTTT